TACTACTACTGCTACTACTACTAACCTACTGCTACTACGACGACGACTACTACGACGACTACTACGACTACTACTACGACTACTACTACGACTACTACTACTACTACTACTACTACTGCTTCTGCTACAGCACCACTACCACTACGACGACTACCAGCAGTGTCTTTTTGCTACTGCGCGGTCTTTGCTGCACTTTTGTATTGTATACCTGCTGCAATGCTGTGACTACAGACGATATCTGCAGAGGCACGGTCATCCTCGGATAACGAATCAGCTCATGTCCGTCGTGACTACTCTACACTGCACATGGCTTGACGTCCTGAGGTCTTTTCTTTGGGTGCACGAGCGGCTTTGATGCCTTGACGGGCATGGGCGCCACGCAAAGACTGGTGCTGCACCATTGCGCTTACTTCAGGAAGCTTCTCGGACAAGCCACTGCCCTTCTTGACGGCAACCTTTTGAGTGGCTTTGGACGGTCCTTTTGCTCCTTTTGGTGCTGCTTTCGCCTCGAGGCCAGTCGGGCTTTTGACAGCTCATGCCGAGCGGTCTCCCTCCAGGCTTGCCCCGCATTTTTCCCTCGCTCTCAGCTTGAGGTGTCCCCACACATCTCTCTAACATTCTCCAATTGCTCGCTATCTCCGATATCTGTGCAGTTTTCCTTGAATACTGACTAAGACTGTCTCAAAATTTAAGGTTTCAACTGAAGGCACAGCAGCCTTTACTCGATCTGCCTTCTTCGGCCTCAGACGCAGTCTAAAGATCTTTGCAAGTTGCAAGTGCTGCAGCATGGATCCAGTCAGCGCGTGGTGGAAACGATCAGGCTGCTGGCGTTCTTTCGCTTCGCTTGGCAGCTGCTGGCTTCGCCTTTGCAAGGCCTTTGTCGTGAAACATGAACAAAGCCACTCAAACAGTTCAGCTCAGCCCTTGGCGCTCACTGCGCCGAGTAGGTTCAACCTGATTGCCACGTAGATTCACTGGCGGGTGCCGAAACTCTGAAGGATGCGCACCTTCTCCAGGTTGGCCTCCCGCACACGGGCAATACCACGAGTCCCCAGTTCAACCTGAAGCTGCAGAGAGTCCAGGCATTCCCCAGCCGTGACAAGCGAAGGGGGCCGTGCTATGAAGCGTCCGCCGTCTTCCACGTTCTCCCTTCCGCGGATGTGTCCCACCCGGCCATTCATCGACGTGTCGGACTGCAAGCCCTTCAGCCTGTGATGATCTCTTCACCCGACTGATGCACATCACGCAGTTCGCAGATCTATCATGCAGGCAGCTTTGTACTAGCAGTTGTTTGCTCTCATCTCCAGCAAACGGCAGATGCCTGACGGAATCTCCGGGCTGTAGTTGAGGTGGTGGCTTTTCAGCTTCCCTGCCGCTGCAAGACAAAACGATGTTTTTAAAATGCTCAGAAACTAAAGCTTGACACATGCAAAATAGCTTCCCCACTCTATCGGGGAGTCGTCGTTGGGCACTTCTGTCGCTTCTTGCTCCTCCTCCTCCTCTTCTTCCTGCTGGTCTTCCTGCTGTTCTGCCTGCTGCTCTTCATGCTGCGCTTCCTGCTCCTCCTCCTGTGCTTCCTGCGCTTCCTGCTCGGCTTGCGCTTCCGGCGGTTCCTGCTCCTCCTCCTGCTGTTCTGTGGGTTCCTCTTGCGCCTCTTCCTCCTCAACCTCAACTTCGTCCGTCTCTTCAATACTCACCTGATCGGTTTCATCTTCGTCGCTCATGGCAATGCCCTGTGGTACAGCGAGGGACGAAGTGGCTTTGCGTCGTATGGGTTGCAGAGCTGTTGCAGCTTGAAAATGCCTAGCGAGCAGCTGGTGTCAGTCATTATTCCTGATTCGTCCATGGTGCAGGTTCCCTTTCATGTCAAGCTAAAGCAACTTATTGTTCGAGCCGCAAGAGGTCGGCCAACACTCCGGCTGGAACGTTCGATTTGTAGCTTGCCGTGTGGCAGAGGGCGAAGCCCAGAGACACTTTTTTCATCTTTCGGAGCCATGTGCTACTCCTCGCCATGGCTTACACCTTCGGCGCGGATTCGGGCAAGAGTGAAGGAAGACCGCAGGTGCCGAGACCGGAGCTCTGCCGCAGCCAGGTGCCGTAGTGGCGACTGGGCTGTCCGGCAGACATGCCTGGCCTGCACGGCTGCACGGCACATGACGGAGACGTCTTTGCTCGGAGCAGAGCTTTGGGGCGGACCGCAAGCGGAAGATCTTGCAAGAGCCTGGGCAAAGACTGCAGGGGCAACTTCAGACGAGAGCCGGAGCATCTTGAGCTTCGGACCCGGCAGCGGCTTCACAGCTCTGACGAAGCCTCCTCACAGGCTGGAGCGGCTGCGGCAGCTTAGAATGATCGGATGACCCCTTGCCACCCTGGCTATGGTGACCATGGAAAGCAGGAGCTCTGGAGGACAAAACGCCAAGGAAAAAAGGTATGGTCGGTATAGTAACATAGTACCAAGTGTCGCTGCAGACTGGGCAAAGGGTCTCGTAAACATGAAGGAAGAACAGCCGACCTAAAATTGCTATTGTGTGCATACAGGCTTCGCTCACAGCTGGCTTTTTCGCGGACTCTTCAAGCTTGTGAGGTTTGTCATCTGAAACTCAACAAGCCTGCCTTCGACGGTCGTGGGGCTGCGCTGGCTTGCGCCTTGCATGTGGCTGCCAGACCCTCTCGCAGCTGCGCGCAGGACCTTTCAAGGCCAGGAGTCCAGGAGTGTCTTTGTGAGCCCTTGGCATTCTGAAGCCCACCTCGAAGCCGATGTCAGTGATGGGCTCGGAAGCCAAAGCCTGGACGGAAAAGGGCTGGCAGGGGTCGGAAGCGTCCCAGCGCTGGCAAACGGCCCGGCCTCGCTTGGCCCTGGCCTGTCGTCGAAAACTCTCGTGCTCGCGCTCGTGCTCGGCCGAGGGGGTCCGGGTCTGTCTGTCTGCAAAGGCACCAGGCCTCGGCTCAAGACTGCGAAAGGCTTCGAAGTCATTTGCTGGCACCCTCCCTGGGACTTGCACCGTTGAGACGGACAGTCTTCAGGACCTCTGCGGGACGTGGCAGGAAGCGGCCCAGCCTCGATTGCAGACACTTTCGGAGCACCCAATGGCCTTGGGTGCGTTCTCCGCAAAACCCCACCAGGTCCTGAAGAATTGCAAAGCGTTTCGGCCAAGGTCCCTGCTAACCACCGATCAGGTGGGCTCTGACAGCGGCTCTCTCCGTGTCGTTGAACGTTTGGAATTGTCAGAGACATGACAGTCCTGGCCAGTGATAGTACCTTGGCCCATCGCCATTCGTTGTTCTATACACGAATTGCCCCCTCTCTCTTGCTGAGCTCCCCGCTGCGCCTTTCTCGTGTTCTGCCACCTCCCATGCAAAGACATGCATGGTCTTCCCTCCGACATGCTATGCACGCGACAAGATGGCGGCTCACGACAGCCTACGAAACTAAGATAAATGTGCTCACCTTCTCTAAGTTGTCTGCATCATTTGATATGTAACACCGCAGCAGCATTGGCCCAGACCTTTGGTTCGCGGGATGCTTTTCCTACGCAGAGCAGCAAGTGAATATAAGTGAAAGTCATTGCAGTCATTGTATCAGGGCACACCAAGGACCAGATGCGTCCCATGCACCCTGTAATCCTCGAAGTCTTGGCGATGCCGGACGGAATTTAAAGAGACACGACATGAGGTGATGATCCTTCCAAAGCCAACGTACGGTGATACGATGGCCACGGTGCATCCGACCCGGCTTTTGCACGAACAGCGACCGTCGATCAGATCCGCTATGATCCGTTATGACAGCTATCGCGAGACGTGCAAGAAGCGAGGTTCTGCATGAAGGCCCGTGTTGCGGTGCCAAAAACTCCCGGGCTCCCAGAAATTGTCGAGCTGAGCAGATCACGACCCGGGAGGTCGGCTCAGATTCGCGGGGTAATTTCTTCAGCGCTGCAGAAACGATCGCATTCCTGATCAAAAGCAACAGCCTCTGTTCACCTGCTTGTTGTTGAAACACTTCTTCCGTGCACGGTGGCACTTCGAGTGGCAGCACCAAGCTCTTGCCCTGAGACAATGTGGTGGGATTCGCAGCTCACTCACGTAACAGCGAGTTGCGGCAAGAGCAAAGAGCAACGCAAACAACAACCATCCTGGTGTGGGTGTGGGTGGGTGGGTGGGTGGGGGGGGGGGTGTATACATACATAT